ATTTTAAGACAATATTATAGCCCGGCCATATGGCCTGGTACACTCGCTTTTGTCTCACTAGTCGAAGTTCATTGGTCTGAACCTACTGCCTGCGCTTTACTTTTTTCCCCATAGGAAAGTGGAACAGAATTCTTCTTTTGTGAGCCATGTGTGTCATTTTTGGTGACTAAAATGCTGGGAGCAAGGTGGCTAGTAACCTCTTCTCCTATATACGTATATTACTAAATTTAAAAGGAGTAACTTACATTTTTCCTTTTGGACCACCCTGCCTCGGTGGGATAAGGCCAGTTTGTTTAAAGATTATACACTCGGAATGGATTTTTTAACCCTTTGAGGGTTTTGGTCGTACTAGTACGTCTTACGCGTAGGGGTTTTTGACGTACTAATACACAAATTCTAGCGGCCTCAAATCTAGTGGGAGAAAGCTGGTAGGCCTTCATATGAAAGAATGGGTCTATGTGGTCAGTGTGCACAGTCTAAAAAAAATCCTGCAGCACACAGTGCATAATGAGAAAAAAAAAACTTTGACCATTTTTTTTGGAATAAATCAGCGACTTTGCAGTGTATTTTCGTATGGTATTTATTGTTGTATTCTAGTTTTCTTGGTCTCATTTTATAGAATGGAAGACATATTACAGAAATTGAGATGATTTTGACTGGTTTTACAATGAAACGTGCCTTGAAATTGAGCTCAAAGTAGCAGAAATGTTCGATTTTTACCAAACTTCAAAAGTAAACAAATCGTGCAATACACGTCAACTGGAGAGTCTAATATTCTTTCACAAGTGCACCAATAATATTTATACCATTTTTTACACTAATGCAGTAGTCTGCATAACAGTAAATCTTATATTTTTTGTGAGAATAAAAATTCAAAGTGGAAAGCAAAAGAATATAAGAGGGGCCTTGAGCCGTGACTAATGACTAGAGGAAATGTCATTTTAGTGCCAGAAATGTCTTTCTTGTTTATTCTGGACCCTATTCGGAAATTGGCATCTTTTGAAATTTGTGTGAAATTGGCAAAATTGCTAAATTCTGACCACTGTACTGGATAGTTGAATTTCATAAATGGGTGGTTTCTTGCACCCATTCGATAGAAAAAATGGAGTTCTAGCGAAATATTCATGTTTTTTGTCGACTAGTACAGTGAAATTGGCCGAAAATGGGGCTCAAAGTGGGCAAAATCACCGATGCGTAAACATAGCCGAGACCGCTAACTTTGCGAGAGCATAATTCCGTAAGTTTTCGATCAAATTTCAAACTTTTGGTGTCTTTATAATCGGGAAAAGATTCTCTATCTTTTCATAAGAGAATTTTTTTTTTTTTTAAATTTGGCCGACCCTGAGAACGAGTTTCGGAGAGGGCCTGTCGACCCTCAAAGGGTTAAAAGGGCACTGCAATCTGAAAGATTTACACAAAATCGGTCCCCTGACCTCCCATAATCACCTTCACCTCATCCCCTTTTTTCAATTTTCACCCCCTACAACAACTGTACTCTCCACACCTTTTAATCACCCCCCAAATTATAAGCACCTGATGGGTTGGGCCCTTTTTAAAAAAAACCAGTTTTATGACTTCATAAAGCTTCCACTGAAAATATTTCTTAGAGGTTTGCCATGTGTACGTGCCACTGAAAGATAACTTATATAAAGGACTGTCCATCAAATTATAATAGTTTAGATGTATTTAACAATGATGAACATGTGGCTAAGGAAGGTTCTCTTAACTTTTAGTTATTTTGCTGGGTTTTATGTTTCATGAAAAATCTGAATTTAGAAAATTGTTTTAGGTTTCATCCATGTCAGATTTTGGGAACACTACATGCTAAATTTTTTTTTGCCCCAACAAGCCGGCCGTCTCCCACCGAGGCAGGGTGACCCAAAAAGAAAGAAAATCCCCAAAAAGAAAATACTTTCATCATCATTCAACACTTTCACCTCACTCACACAATCACTTTTTGCAGAGGTGCTCAGAGCACAACAGTTTAGAAGCATATACGTATAAAGATACACAACATATCCCTCCAAACTGTTAATATCCCAAAACCCCTCCTTTAGAGTACAGGCACTGTACTTCTCATTTCCAGGACTCAAGTCCGGCTATATAAAAATAACCGGTTTCCCTGAATCCCTTCACTAAATATTACCCTGCTCACACTCCAACAGATCGTCAGGTCCCAAATACCATTCGTCTCCATTCACTCCTATCGAACATGCTCATGCACACCTGCTAGAAGTCCAAGCCCCTCGCCCACAAAACCTCCCTTACCCCTTCCTTCCTACCTTTTCAAGGACGACTCCTACCTCGCCTTCCTTCTCCTACAGATTTAAATGCTCTCATGCCATTCTACTTTGGTCCATTCTCTCTAAAATGACCAAACCACCTCAACAACCCCTCATCAGCCCTCTGACTAATACTTTTATTAACTCCACACCTTCTCCTAATTTCCACACTCCTAATTTTCTGCATATTTACACCACACATTGCCCTTAGACAGGACATCTCCACTGCCTCCAACCGCCTCCTCGCTGCTGCATTTACAACCCAAGCTTCACACCCTTATAAGAGTGTTGGTACTATTATACTTTCATACATTCCCTTCTTTGCCTCCATAGATAACGTTTTTTGACTCCACATATACCTCAACGCACCACTCACCTTTTTTCCCTCATCAATTCTATGATTAACCTCATCCTTCATAAATCCATCCGCCGACACGTCAACTCCCAAGTATCTGAAAACATTCACTTCTTCCATACTCCTCCTCCCCAATTTGATATCCAATTTTTCTTTATCTAAATCATTTGATACCCTCATCACCTTACTCTTTTTCTATGTTCACTTTCAACTTTCTACCTTTACACACACTCCCAAACTCAACCACTAACCTTTGCAATTTTTCTTTAGAACCTCCAATAAGCACAGTATCTTCAGCAAAAAGTAACTGTGTTAATTCCCATTTTATATTTGATTCCCCATAATTTAATCCCACCGCTCTCCCGAACACCCTAGCATTTACTTCTTTTACAACCCCATCTATAAATACGTATATTAAACAACCATGGTGACATTACACATCCCTGTCTAAGACCTACTTTTACCGGGAAGTATTCTCCCTCTCTTCTACACACCCTAACCTGAGCCTCACTATCCTCACAAAAACTCTTTACAGCATTTAGTAACTTACCACCTATTCCATATACTTGCAACATCTGCCACATTGCTCCCCTATCCACTCTTTCATATGCCTTCTCTAAATCTATAAATGCAATAAAAACTTCCCTACCTTTATCTAAATACTGTTCACATGTGTGTTTCAATGTAAACAGTTGATCTACACATCCCCTACCCACTCAAACTTCCTTGCTCATCTGCAATCTTACATTGTCTTACCTCTAATTCTTTCAATTATAACCCTACTGTACACTTTTCCTGGTATACTCAGTAAACTTATTCCTCTATAATTTTTACAATCTCTTTTGTCCCCCTTCCCTTTATATAAAGGGACTATACATGCTCCCCGCCAATCCCTAGGTACCTTCCCCTCTTTCATACATTTATTAAACAAAAGCACCAACCACTCCAACACTATATCCCCCCCTGCTTTTAACATTTAACATTGTAGGTAGTAGGTTGGTAGACAGCAACCACCCAGGGAGGTACTACCGTCCTGCCAAGTGAGTGTAAAACGAAAGCCTGTAATTGTCTTACATGGTAGGATTGCTTGTGTCTTTTGTCTGTCTCATAAATGTAAGGTTATGAAGATAACAAAAAGATTAGGTGATGAAAGTTTGGATATCAGATGGAGGGAGAGAGTATGGAGGAGGTGAATGTATTCAGATATTTGGGAGTGGATGTGTCAGCGGATGGGTCTATGAAAGATGAGGTGAATCATAGAATTGATGAGGGGAAAAGGGTGAGTGGTGCACTTAGGAGTCTGTGGAGACAAAGAACTTTGTCCTTGGAGGCAAAGAGGGGAATGTATGAGAGTATAGTTTTACCAACGCTCTTATATGGGTGTGAAGCATGGGTGATGAATGTTGCAGCGAGGAGAAGGCTGGAGGCAGTGGAGATGTCATGTCTGAGAGCAAAGTGTGGTGTGAAATATAATGCAGAGAATTCGTAGTTTGGAAGTTAGGAGGAGGTGCGGGATTACCAAAACTGTTGTCCAGAGGGCTGAGGAAGGGTTGTTGAGGTGGTTCGGACATGTGGAGAGAATGGAGCGAAACAGAATAACTTCAAGAGTGTATCAGTCTGTAGTGGAAGGAAGGCGGGGTAGGGGTCAGCCTAGGAAAGGTTGGAGGGAGGGGGTAAAGGAGGTTTTGTGTGCGAGGGGCTTGGACTTCCAGCAGGCATGCGTGAGCATGTTTGATAGGAGTGAATGGAGACAAATGGTTTTTAATACTTGACATGCTGTTGGAGTGTGAGCAAAGTAACATTTATGAAGGGGTTCAGGGAAACCGGCAGGCCGGACTTGAGTCCTGGAGATGGGAAGTACAGTGCCTGCACTATGAAGGAGGGGTGTTAATGTTGCAGTTTAAAAACTGTAGTGTAAAGCACCCTTTTGGCAAGACAGTGATGGGGTGAATGATGGTGAAAGTTTTTCTTTTTCGGGCCACCCTGCCTTGGTGGGAATCGGCCAGTGTGATAATAAAAAAAAAAATATAGGTATGTCTTGCTACTTCTACTTACACTTAGGCCACACTACACATACATGTACATGTTTATTTATACACACTCATCTGAGTTTTCTTTGATTTTATCTTAATAGTTCTTGGTCTTATTACTTTTCCTTTTATATCCATGGGGAAGTGGAATAAGAATCTTTCCTCCGTAAGCCATGCTTGTTGTAAAAGTCAACTGAAATGCCGGGAACAATGGGCTAGTAACCCCTTTTCCTGTGAAGATTACTAAAAAGAATTATGAAAAATATAATACTACATGCTAAATACAGATAAAAATAATAAATTGTAGTTTTACAACTTGACCCTACAACATACCTTGTCAATGAAAACAGTGAAGTTCTCCTTTTCAAGTAAAAGTCTCTTATTGAATTCTTCTTTGGTACTCATGTCTGTGTAGGCCATTTCACTGAAGCTGTCATCCAATGAAACTTCCAAATCTACACCCTGAGGAAAATGAGGAATTAGAGAAATGAATAAAAGTGCAAGGGGCTGGTAACCCCTTCTCCTGTATATATTACTGAAGTTAAAAAGAGAAACTTTTGTTTTTCTTTTTGGGCCACCCTGCCTCGGTGGGATACAGCCAGTGCGTTGAAAGAAAGAAAGATATGTAAAAAATAAATTATTTCTATAAAGATGGGTTAATTTATTAAGATGTTTTTTAACACACTGGCAGTCTCAGACTGAGGCAGCGGGACCCAAAAAAGAAACTTTCACCATCATTTACACTATCACTGTCTTGCCAGAGATGCACAGATACGACAGTTCAGTAAGCTTTGAAAGAAAGCAAGAAAGCAATCAGAAATTGTTGAACAGATGATAAAATGGAAGCAAACAATTTCATGACAAAGAAGAGGAAGAGCTTTATTAATTAAATGGGTAAAGTCAGAAATTAGTAAAAGAAGTGAAGGAATGGCAACATCAAGACTGATATACTGAAGGTAATAATGGTTCATGCACTTGCCCAGTATTTGTATAAAAAAAATTGGTTATAGCAACCTAACATTAGAAAACAAGGAAAATCAGTAGGTAATTTTTCCTTATTAAAAACTCGTGGGTTTTATGGAAAGAGCTCACCAGTGTACCCATTTTCATACATTTCTAATACAGCACATCATGAATTAGTCAAAGCAAAAAAATTCTGCTAACCCTAAAACTGACAAACTAGTATGCAGGGAACCAAACTGTTCGGTACATGTGTATGCTAATTTTGTGTCTTCAGATTTGCCATGTGCCAATTTTTTTTTTTTAACTCCGGCTCAAGCCTTTCCTACCAATTCAAGACCATGCGGGTTCAAGCAGTGCATTATGAGTAACACTGCCTAACTAGGAAAAATAAAGCCAGGACCTGTTCCACGACCAGTTTCCCTACCAGCAAATAGGTGTGGAGCTAGTAGGAACATGCCTTATTCAAAAATTATTACAATTTCACTCAGTCAACAGTAGAATTCAGCCCAGCCCCTCCCTCCTACAAGAAGGTAGACTGAATCTAGGATAACCCAATGTAGTCAGGGGCAAAGGAAGCAGAGTTTTGAAGCTTAAACATTCAGCAGGCCTGTGCAAGCATGTTAGATAGGAGTGAATGGATTCAGGAAAACCGATTAGCTGGGCTAGAATTCTGAAAAGGGAAAGGGCAGTGCCTGCATACTGAAAGTTTGTGGGGGACATTGCAGTCAGAGGGTAATCAAGAGAGTGCTGTCAGAACACTTGTGAAAAGGCAGCAATTGAATGAATAAGGGTTTGAGTTTTATTTTGGGGGGTCACCCTTCCTTGGTGGGAAGCAGCTGCAAGTTTTATACAAGTTTATACACTTTCACCTCCCTCTTACTTGTTGTTGCCACCTTCCTCTTTTCCCATCTAGTTAGAGCAAGAGGTAGATGGGAAAAGAGGAAGGTGGCAACAAAAAGTAAGAGGGAGGTGAAAGTGTATAAACTAAGGGAGGAGGAAGTTCAGGTGAGATATAAGCGACTATTGGCAGAAAGGTGGGCTAGTGCAAAGATGAGTAGTGGGGGGGGGGGGGGGGGGGGGTTGAAGAGGGTTGGAATAGTTTTAAAAATGCAGTATTAGAATGTGGGGTAGAAGTTTGTGGTTATAGGAGGGTGGGGGTAGGAGGAAAGAGGAGTGATTGGTGGAATGATGAAGTAAAGGGTGTGATAAAAGAGAAAAAGGTAGCTTATGAGAGGTTTTTACAAAGCAGAAGTGTTATAAGAAGAGCAGAGTATATGGAGAGTAAAAGAAAGGTGAAGAGAGTGGTGAGAGAGTGCAAAAGGAGAGCAGATGATACAGTGGGAGAGGCACTGTCAAGAAATTTTTATGAAAATAAGAAAAAATTTTGGAGTGAGTTAAACAAGTTAAGAAAGCCTAGGGAAAGTAGGGATTTGTCAGTTAAAAACAGAGTAGGGGAGTTAGTAGATGGGGAGATGGAGGTATTAGGTAGATGGCGAGAATATTTTGAGGAACTTTTAAATGTTGAGGAAGAAAGGAAGGCAGTAATTTCATGCACTGGCCAGGGAGGTATACCATCTTTTAGGAGTGAAGAAGAGCAGAATGTAAGTGTGGGGAGGTATGTGAGGCATTATGTAGAATGAAAGGGGGTAAAGCAGCTGGAACTGATGGGATCATGACAGAAATGTTAAAAGCAGGGGGGATATAGTGTTGGAGTGGTTAGTACTTTTGTTTAATAAATGTATGAAAGAGGGGAAGGTACCTAGGGATTGGCATTGAGCATGTATAGTCCCTTTATATAAATGGAAAGGGGACAAAAGAGACTGTAAAAATTATAGAGGAATAAGTTTACTGAGTATACCAGGAAAAGTATACGGTAGGGTTATAATTGAAAGAATTAGAGGTAAGACAGAATGTAGAATTGCGGACGAGCAAGGAGGTTTCAGAGTAGGTAGGGGATGTGTAGATCAAGTGTTTACATTGAAACATATATGTGAACAGTATTTTGATAAAGGTAGGGAAGTTTTTATTGCATTTATGGATTTAGAAAAGGCATATGATAGTGTGGATAGAGGAGCAATGTGGCAGATGTTGCAAGTATATGGAATAGGTGGTAAGTTACTAAATGCTGTAAAGAGCTTTTATGAGGATAGTGAGGCTCAGGTTAGGGTGTGTAGAAGAGAGGGAGAATACTTCCCGGTAAAAGTAGGTCTTAGACAGGGATGTGTAATGTCACCATGGTTGTTTAATATATTTATAGATGGGGTTGTAAAAGAAGTAAATGCTAGGGTGTTTGGGAGAGGGGTGGGATTAAATTATGGGGAATCAAATTCAAAATGGGAATTGACACAGTTACTTTTTGCTGATGATACTGTGCTTATGGGAGATTCTAAAGAAAAATTACAAAGGTTAGTGGATGAGTTTGAGAATGTGTGTAAAGGTAGAAAGTTGAAAGTGAACATAGAAAAGAGTAAGGTGATGAGGGTGTCAAATGATTTAGATAAAGAAAAATTGGATATCAAATTGGGGAGGAGGAGTATGGAAGAAGTGAATGTTTTCAGATACTTGGGAGTTGACGTGTCGGCGGATGGATTTATGAAGGATGAGGTTAATCATAGAATTGATGAGGGAAAAAAGGTGAGTGGTGCGTTGAGGTATATGTGGAGTCAAAAAAACGTTATCTATGGAGGCAAAGAAGGGAATGTATGAAAGTATAGTAGTACCAACACTTATATGGGTGTGAAGCTTGGGTGGTAAATGCAGCAGCGAGGAGACGGTTGGAGGCAGCGGAGATGTCCTGTTTAAGGGCAATGTGTGGTGTAAATATTATGCAGAAAATTCGGAGTGTGGAAATTAGGAGAAGGTGTGGAGTTAATAAAAGTATTAGTCAGAGGGCAGAAGAGGGGTTGTTGAGGTGGTTTGGTCATTTAGAGAGAATGGATCACAGTAGAATGACATGGAAAGCATATAAATCTATAGGGGAAGGAAGGCGGGGTAGGGGTCGTCCTCGAAAGGGTTGGAGAGAGGGGTAAAGGAGGTTTTGTGGGTGAGGGGCTTGGACTTCCAGCAAGCGTGCGTGAGCGTGTTAGATAGGAGTGAATGGAGACGAATGGTACTTGGGACCTGACGATCTGTTGGAGTGTGAGCAGGGTAATATTTAGTGAAGGGATTCAGGGAAACCGGTTATTTTCATATAGTCGGACTTGAGTCCTGGAAATGGGAAGTACAATGCCTGCACTTTAAAGGAGGGGTTTGGATATTGGCAGTTTGGAGGGACATGTTGTGTATCTTTATATGTTTATGCTTCTAGACTGTTGTATTCTGAGCACCTCTGCAAAACAGTGATAATGTGCGAGTGTGGTGAAAGTGTTGAATGATGATGAAAGTATTTTCTTTTTGGGGATTTTCTTTCTTTTTTGGGTCACCCTGCCTCGGTGGGAGACGGCCGACTTGTTGAAAAAAAAAAAAAAAAAATATATATATATATATATATATATATATATATATATATATATAAATATATATATATATATATTTATATATATATTTATATATATATATATTTATATATATATATATTTATATATATATATATTTATATATATATTATATATTTATATATATATATATTTATATATATATATATATAATGTCGTCCTCGAAAGGGTTGGAGAGAGGGGGTAAAGAGGTTTTGTGGGTAAGGGGCTTGGACTTCCAGCAAGCGTGCGTGAGCGTGTTAGATAGGAGTAATGGAGACGAATGATACTTGGGACCTGACGATCTGTTGGAGTGTGAGCAGGGTAATATTTAAAGTGAAGGGATTCAGGGAAACCGTTTATTTTCATATAGCCCGGACTTGAGTCCTGGAAATGGGAAGTACAATGCCTGCACTTTAAAGGAGGGGTTTGGGATATTGGCAGTTTTGGAGGGATATGTTGTGTATCTTTATATGTGTAATGCTTCTAGACTGTTGTATTCTGAGCACCTCTGCAAAAACAGTGATAAATGTGCAAGTGTGAGTGAAATGTTGAATGATGATGAAAGTATTTTCTTTTTGGGGATTTTCTTTCTTTTTTGGGTCACCCTGCCTCGGTGGGAGACGGCCGACTTGTTGAAAAAAAAAAAAAAAAAAATATATAATGTCGTGCCGAATAGGCAGAACTTGCGATCTTGGCTTAAATAGCAACGCTCATCTTGCCATATAGGACAAGTGAAAATTTGTGTATGCAATAATTTCGCCAAAATCATTCTGAACCTAACGAAAAAAATATATTTCACTGTGTTTGTTTAGTATTAAATTAATGTAAACAAATCTAAAATATATTTAGTTAGGTTAGGCTAAAATAAATTGTTCTTGTTATAATAAGGTTAGGTAAGTTTTCTAAGAGTCTTTTGGTGCAAAATTATAAATTTTTAAATTATCATTAATGAAAAAAATATATCTTTAAACATAAGAGAAAATTTTAGAAAGGACTTAATTTTAAATGAGTTCTTGCTAATTGACCAGTTTTACATATTCGGCACGACATATATATATATATATATAAAGCGTATATATACACACCCCTCTGGGTTTTCTTCTATTTTCTTTCTAGTTCTTATTCTTGTTTATTTCCCCTTAACTCCATGGGGAAGTGGAACAGAATTCTTCCTCCGTAAGCCATGCGTGTTGTAAGAGGCGACTAAAATGCCGGGAGCAAGGGGCTAGTAACCTCTTTTCCTATATATATTACTAAATGTAAAAGGGGAAACTTTCGTTTTCCTTTTGGGCCACCCCGCCTCGGTGGGATACAGCCGGTGTGTTGAAAGAAAGATATATAAATAAAAACGATACATTTCAAACAAAATGGAATTCATGAATTATTCTTTGCATTTTGTATTTTTTTTTTTAGTATGGATAATGTTTGACCAACACAACACCACATATTCACATTTTCTTGACCTCTTACATAAAGTATATAATAAAAGATCTTTGACCAATGTTTACCTGATTTGGTAGGTTCTGTGTAGTCTGCCAGTTGATAAGACTCATGGGCAACAGATCAGGATAATAATGGTGCAGGAGAAGACACAGTGCTCGACCATCAGAGAATGACACAGTTAGATTATCAACCTGAGGAAAAAATAAACATCTTTAATGCCATGTATTAACAGCCAAAACAAATAAATATCTTCAATGCCTGCTACTAACAGTTAACAGCCAAAACATGTTAGAAAATTTGAAGACTACTTATATTAGGTCCCCCATTTACATTAATGAAAATTTTTCAAAACTAAACTATTTTTCCTAAGACATCCATGTTATGATCAGAGATGCATGCCTGAGCCATAACATTCGTTATCTGATTTCATTTAAGTTTAACGATGAAGTTAAATGTAGAGTACATATTAGTCTCCATTTCTACCCTTTCTATACCTTCCCTCCCATTAGCTCTCTTCTATTCCCTTGCATTCCTCCCTCTCCACTGTATCTGACAAATTTACATTTGCTCTCCTTTTCCACTAAATTCCAACCCTCACTGTAGTACACAAAAACCAAGTTCCATTACATAAGAACATAAGAAAGAAGGAACACTGCAACAGGCCTACTGACCCATGCGGAGCAGGTCCATGTCCCCCCCCGGATTAACCCAATGGCCCACCCACCCCGGATTAGCCCAATGACCCACCCAGTCTGGTCACCTCCACTCAACGAAGGAGCATGGCACCAGACCCAGCAGCACAAGCTAGTCAGGTCCAACTCACACCCACTCATGTATTTATCTAACCTATTTTTAAAACTACACAACATTTTAGCCTGAATAACTGTACTTGGGAGTTTGTTCCACTCATCCACAACTCTATTTCCAAACCAGTGCTTTCCTATATCCTTCCTGAATCTGAATTTTTACAACTTGAAACCATTGTTGCAAGTCCTGTCTTGGCTGGAAATTTTCAGCACGCTATTTACATCCCCTTTATTTATTCCTGTTTTCCATTTATACACCTCGATCATATCCCCCCTAATTCTACGCCTTTCGAGAGAGTGCAGATTCAGGGCCCTCAGTCTATCCTCATAGGGAAGATTTCTGATACATGGGATCATCTTTGTCATCCTCCTCTGTACGTTTTCAAGAGCATTTATAACCATTCTGTAATATGGTGACCAGAACTGAGCAGCATAGTCTAAATGAGGCCTAACCAAGGATATATAGTTGAAGAACAACCTGAGGACTTCTATTATTTATACTTCTAGATATGAAGCCAAGAATTCTGTTAGCTTTATTGCAAACACTAATGTACTGTTGTCTTGGTTTTAGATTACTGCTAACCAGAACTCCTAAATCTTTTTTGCAATCAGTAGCATTAAGATCTACATTGTTTAGTTTATATGTGGCATGGTTATTTTCCTGTCCAACATTTAGAACTTTGCATTTGTCAATATTAAACTGCATCTGCCACTTCTCCGACCATTGCATCAGTCTATTCAAATCATCCTGGAGTGCTCTAGTGTCCTCATTAGAATGAACTGGACAGCCTATTTTTGTGTCATCAGCAAATTTGCTTATGTCGCTATTTATTCCCTCATCTATGTTGTTTATGTAAATTGTGAACAACAATGGGCCCAACACTGACCCCTGAGGAACACCACTTGTGACGTGCCCCCACTCTGATTTCTCCCCATTTATACAAACTCTCTGCTGCCTATTTGTCAGCCATGCCTCTTCCCAGGAAAAAAAATTTCTCCTCCTATTCTGTGTGCCTTAAGTTTCCTCAATAGCCTCTGGTGTGGAACTCTATCAAAAGCTTTACTGAAGTCCATATACACTATCATATTTATTACCATGATCTACCTCCTCAAACACCTTAGTGAAAAAAGTTAGTGAATTCGTAAGACAGGAACACCCCTTTGTAAAACTGTGTTGAGATTCATTAATCAATCTGTACCTATCAAGATGGCTACGAATTGCTTCGGCAATTATTGATTCCATAAATTTTCCCACTACAGAGGTAAGGCTTATTGGTCTATAGTTCGAAGCCAAGGACCTGTCACCTGCCTTGTAAATTGGAATTACATATGCCATTTTCCACTTTACATTCCTTTAACACCCTTACAAACAGTTCATCAGGACCTGGGGATTTGTTAGGTTTTAGTTTCTCTATTTGTCTGAGGACCATGTCACCAGTTACTGCAATCGTGAATAGTTTATCATCATCCTGTTCTACATAATCTATTATTTCAGGAATATTGCTAGTATTTTCCTGGGTGAAAACTGAGAATTTCACACATATCCTAATCACCGTCAGTGATCTGACCAGTTACTCTTAAGTGGGCCTATCTTGTCCCTAATCTTACTTCTATATACCTGAAAGAACCCTTTTGGGTTAGTCTTTGAATCCCTTGCGACCTTAGCCTCGTAATCCCTTTTTGCTTTTCTTATTCCTTTCCCTATAAGTATTATGCCTCCCACTCTGTACTCCACCTCCAGATAATATATTGTCCCACACACCATACCTGCACTAACTCCACCTCCCTCACCAAAACTCATGCCACTTTTATGGTGGGAGAATAAGGTGCCTGGACTTGCAATGAGGGGGCTCATCTATAGTGGTTGCCAAGATCTTGTCCTAGCTCCTGACCCTGCCTCTTAACTGGCTGATTGCTAAATTCCTTCCAGCACTCTGGGCCCTTTTGTACTGCTCTTAAAACTATGATGAAGCCAGCCCCCACTTCTTCACCCAGGTCATTCCACTTCCCAAACATCCTGAGACTAAAGAAATACTTCCTGACATCCCTGTGGCTTATCTGTTTCCCCAAGCACCTCAAGCAGCCAGCCTATCCTTGTCTACCAATTACTGAATACAAAGTTGTAGGATTAAATTCTGTTGGTCTCTCCATGTAACTCATAATCCTTAGCTCTGGGATAACTCTCAGTGTATACCTTGGCAATTTCTTTATCATGCTTTTCCAGGTGTGGGTTCCATGTCAGTACTGCAAACTCCTAGACAGGCCTGGTGTATGTTGTATAAAGAGGAGTACACAATATGGTACATGTCTAAAAATAACAAACCATACCTCTAGTCCATAGTGTGCACAAGTAAACTGAGCCCATAACTTGAGGTATGCCAGAACTCTCTCCATTGTGCCTAATTCATTCTTTAAGTGACTTAGTTGTACAATTGCCTCCGAGACCATTTCCAAGCCTGCACCTGCCGATTCTTCAAGCTGAGAACGCACAACAAGAGATCTGTGAAGGTAGTCTATTTCCTCGTGTAAACGAGCTTCACATACTATCACAGACACCTGAAAAGATTACGAAAAATTAGTATAATTAATGATAGCTACATTATCAGGCAATCCAACCACTGTTCTTGCTGAACCACTTACATTTTATGTAAAAAGCTACTTTAATATCAGAACATTACCCCATTTGAGGAAAAATACCATGAAAAAAACAAAGCTAATACAGTACATTTATAAAATAAAAAATTAAACTTAAGTAGATTGCTACTATAATTACTATTTTTGTTACCACTGGCCATTTCCCACTAAGGTACGGTGATCCAAGGAAGGAAACCATTCACCATCATTCATTCAATAGGTAGTATCTTGCCAGAAGTGTCCAGACATCACAATTCAAATGACGAACTGACCAGTAACATCCCCATTCATCCCTTGGAGTGCATTTACTAATATCCTCCCTTTAGTACAAATCTGGGTATCCTGACACCCTAAATTACTACCTGATGTCTACCATTTAAAAATCAAGAGTAAGAGGGAAGGAAAAAATATTAAACTTGGAAATTAAAAATATGGTTTTAACTAATATAGTTTGCATTATTATTATTGTAAATGAATTAATATACAGTAAACACTCAATTTAATGGACTAATGGGAAGGGGAGGGGGAACAGGTGGCTGGTTATGGCAACTGGGGGACAGAAATAATTTTGTGTTGCCGTTATCACAACCAACAATGACAAAACCAACGAATTTCGCCACAGTTTCAGAATCAGATGACCACGCAGATTTTGTCCCACATTTCTAAATTCCATTAAACTGAGGATTTATTATATGGTACACTCTTATAAAGCAATTCTACATTTTGTGTAAAAGCAGCTAAAATAGTGCATCCAAAATGGCATAGCATGTGGAAAAAGCTTCAATTCTACAAACTAGTTTGACTTGTCTGTTACTTTACTGTTGTATTCTACCTCTCTCGAACACTGTACACAAATATAAACCTACTGTTAATAGCAAACATTAAATTATTACCTGGTAAACGTATAACTTTAAATCGCATTACAAACCCTTACTTCACCCGTTTTCGCATTATGCCTATAACCTAATATTGTCCTCGTTTTATCAAATAGTGGTACCCCCGAGTTTCGTACATAATTTGCTCCAGAAGGCTGTTTGAGTGCTGTTACCAAGCACTTGCAAAAATACACTTACGTAATTATTCGAGTTGGGAGCTGTACAAAACTCGGGGTAGCACTGTACCAGCCAGTAATAGTACTTATGTTAATCAAAATTACTTAAATTGTAGTATACTTTTACCCCCAAAATTTGAACATAAACCATACTTTTGTACAAATCAATATTTATATACAGGCTGGCCATCACTAATCTGGCAATCAGTAATCCAACACTAATTTCAGCTAGCCTAATTTCCGGGGTCGCCACACTAACTTGCTGCTACTGTTTGGTGGCGTTACTTGCTACATCAGTCATTCCAATTTCTTTTCCTCCATTTATTGTTATAACCTGCTCACTTTTAGCCCTAGCCATGGTTCCAACGAATACAAGAAATGTTTCCTGGTGTGTAAAGCACATACACCATACATTGTCCACAAAAGATAAGGTGGCTTTGACGCCACTGTTGGTTGCCATGAGCTCAGCTCACTCAGATAAGCTGTTACTGGTAAATTTGGACCTACATATGAAAGAATAGGTCTGTGTGGTAAGTGTGTACTATATAAAAAAAAAAAAGGAGACTGCTTTTGGTGTAAAACAGTGTGGTGAATTTTCATATGATTTGTATGGTTGTATTCTTGTTTTTTCTCTCATTTGATAGAATGGAAGATATATTTCAGAAATATATATAATTTTGATTGGTTTCATGCCGGCAAGTACCTTAAAATTGAGAAAGTAGCAGAAATGTTAAATTTTCGCACATGTTCAAGAGTAAACAAATGACATCACTGTCCAATACGTGTCCAACTGGCCAGTCTAATACGCAGTCACAAATGGGTTGACATTCTTTATAAAATTATTACAATAATGCAGATGTCTACATTATTGTAATATAAGAGGGGCCTGGAGACGTGACTAATGAACAGAGAAAATGTTATTTTAGTGCTAGGAATGTCTGCACTGTTTATTCTGGACCCTATTTTGCAACTAGCATCTCTTGAAATTTGTGTGAAAGCAGCCAAATTACCAATTTCTGATCACTTTATTGGGTAGCTGACGTGGGTAAATGGGATATTTCTTGTATTCAACTGACAGAATAGAAGGAATACTAGCGAAATAGCTGTGAGTTTGGTAGACCAGAACAATGGAATGGGCCAAAAGTAGGGCATAAAGTGGGTGAAATCCCCAATGCATAAATATTGCCATTGGGTTAGGTGTATTCTAACCACTCTGTAATCTGGCAAAATCATTAATCCGGCACCTTACAGGTCCTGATCATGCCAGATTAGCAATGGTCAACATGTACTACTAAGCCCCTACTTAAACAATTTTCTTACAAGTCTTACTCAAAATGCCCATATAATAGAATTATTTATCGTTTGATAGGAAACACATCCTTATATATACTACAAGACTTACCTGGAAGTTAAAAATAATAGTCCAAAGCAGAGCAAGAGTCTGTTCCTGATGACCATCAACAAGATCCTTTGATGGGAACTTAGACTTCACTCCTACACAGCCCTCAGTTTCTAAAGCAGCCATGGCAACATCTGTGTTGAAGATCTTCTGCATACGACTAATTGCTGGGACACGCAACTTGGAGCTCAAATCAAATTTCTGGGTCAACATTTCTATCACACGACTGAAATTAAAAAAAAAAAAAAAAAAAAAAAAAAAAAAAAAAAAAAAAAGTTAAATATAAGAGCGGATGAGGTAAAAAATCAAGTTATTGTATTCACAACTGGATTTTTTTTTACATTTCAAATAAAGCTTATGAATTTTCTAGATTAAGATTTTTTTTTATAACCATGTGGGCCATTTTTCACCAAGGCAGGGTGACCCAAAGAGGGAAACACATTAACCATAATTCTTTCAATGGTTGCTTTATCAAAAATGCTTAGACATCATAATTCAAATGGCTCACTGAACTGCAACATCCCCACCCATCCTTCAGAATAATTTCAAAATAACTCCTGTTGGAGGGTCAAATGCCCACTTCCTGCCTAACCCTGCATAACTTGCTTCTTTTCTGTGGAATCCACTGGGCCTGTTGTTTCCCAAGGACATACCAAGGTATATTGCCCATGATATCAAGGAATAAGAGGCTGTAAGCATGGGAAGCAGTTTAAGGGAAGGGCAAGCCTTTTTTCAGTAATCAGGAAATTAAAAATGAAAAATTAAGGAAAAAAAAAAGTTTTCATACTGAAAAATAGTGCAAAATTCTGGCAACATTTTAATGTAATCAGCTTGTTTCTATCATATTTCTAAGTATGTTTCTCATTAAATGTAATTTTTTTGTTCTTGCTATCATCAAAAATACTTGTTGGCAATTAGTGGGTTATTTTTTTCCCTCCAAAAATTATGATTTCTACGATTGTTCCATTCTAAATACTCTACATGGCAACTTCTGTGCTGGCTAAAGTGTAGAAGATGATGAGTGTTCCTTAGTAGCCTGCAGGATATCAACAAGGAAGGAGTGGTTGTAACCTTAGAGTTTCACACCAAAAACAATGAATAACAACTCAGAAATAAGTTATTGACATTGTTTTCCTTCTGCAGTAAGTATTAATAGGAGTGTCATGATTTTTGCACACGTTATTGAGGAATGATGGTTCTACAAACACCCAGGGAAGATCTGTGATATTGTTTACAGCTTTGTTTTTAATGATTTTTTCCACACACACACACACACAAAAAAAAAAAAAAAAAAAAAAAAAAAAAAAAAAAAAAAATTACAAACTTCAACATTTTTTTTAACGAAATTACTGACATTATCACTGAAATGCCCTGTGTCAATAATAATCTAGCCTTTATCTTTCATCTGATGTCAACTAGAGCACTGAACATCTTCCCAATTTAGGACCCTTAAAATTGTGCATAATTAATTTTTTCCGAACTAACTTGAAGGCTAACAGTCAAAACAAACACAGCCTATATGTTTTTTTATGCTGCTTCATCAACTGTTAAAATCTCATTGAAATCTAAAAAAAAAAAAAGTTGACAATATCGCTCGCCCCTCCCTTAACTGAATGTTCATGTTTTGGCACATTAATAACAATAGCATAGGCCCCAGCAGAAATGTTGAACTCATAAGGGTTATTGCAGCACTGCATGCCAAAGTTGAAAAATAGCAATGGGGAGAGGAAAAGGAGAATACAAAAGGTGGAGGGAAGAGGAAGGCAAGAGAGGTGGCAAGGAAGGACATCTACTGAAAGGATGAGACTTGCAGCTGATGAAGGAAATGGGCGTCAGTTAATAAATCAGTTGGTAGGAAACATGGACAATCAGAGAGGATGGCAGACAGAGCAAGCATGTCTGGGTGATGTACACTGTCTAAACAGGAATTGGCAAGCTCTCTGACAAACAGGCCAACTGACCAAGAGATGCTGGAGATAAGGAAGATGGCTGCCCACAACGGTTTTAAAAATTGGAAAGTACAGTGCTTTCACTCTAAAATTTAAGGAGGGAGGTTGTGACACTGAATTTACATTGCACCATGAGCTCTGGTGCCTTCTGGAGTCAGTTAACCCTTAAACTGTCCAAACGTAGATCCACATTTTTTCAACATTTGAATGTAAAAAAACGTAAAGCTTCTTTTTTTTTTTTTTTTTTTTTTTTTTTACATTTGAAAAAGTGTAAAAAAAACTTTGATCTACTTTTTTTGTTATATTTGAAAATAATTAAAAAACATAGATCTACTTTTGGAGCACTACACATGTGAATGTAGATCTGTTTGGACAGTTTCCCTTAAGTGAGTGAGAGATGAATGTCATCTACAGTCTACCTAAATGAGAAACTCAAAATATAAACAAAATATTTAGAAAAATACATGAACACATTACTTTTACTTACGTTAAACGGATACCACAGCGTAAATCTACGGCTAAATTTGTGACAGCATAATCAAACTCTTCTAAGGCAGTCTGTCTGTGACTGACATTGTAGCCAAGATATGCTAAGTGCTTGGTTATATCTCCTACACCAGAGAGAAACTCTCTGGCAAAGGCAATCAAGATATCTCTGCTTGCCTGCAAGAAAAAATTGGTTCTAATTATCCATTTTCAAAATGTTTTATTCAACTTAAGAAAACTGCAAATTAGAGTATTCCCTCTAAAAAGATCTTGTTCTGCTATACTTCAATGGAATCAGTGCACAAAGTATATGCTACTCAAGCCAGCATTCACAAATGAAGCTTTCCAAAAATCTACAAATATTTAGCAATTGTGATTTTTGTTGGGCCTTGCCAGACAATGCCTGGAAATTAATTTATGCACAAAAAGCAAAATTTTACACTCCCCATATGATGTAGTGCCCAATTTTGCTAATCTTTATACACAGTAGTGGTGTGCCATAATGTATTCTTGCATACCAATGCTTTACATTCAGTGAGTTTTGGAAATGTATATGGCATTAAAAGATTTAAACTTTTACAAGTAACCCAAATAAAAATAGAAATCTGAACACAGGGATTGCAATTTTGCAACACTGCATAGCAGTGTTGCAAAATTGCAACAATGCTATGCAGTGTTCATGAAACTTCTTCAAAATTCATTATGTTACACTCATAGGCAATTTACAACTCATTATAATAATCAATATCATATACATTTTTTTTTTTAAACAAGTCGACCATCTCCCACCGAGGCAGGGTGACCCAAAAAATTAAGAAAATCCTCAAAAAGAAAATACTTTCATCATCATTCAACACTTTCACCTCACTCACACATTATCACTGTTTTTGCAGAGGTGCTCAGAACACAACAGCTTAGAAGTATATACCTATAAAGATACACAACATATCCCTCCAAACTGCTAATATCCCAAACCCCTCCTTTAGAGTGCAGGCACTGTACTTCCCATTTCCAGGACTCAAGTCCAGCTATAAAATAACCAGTTTCCCTGAATCCCTTCACTAAATATTACCCTGATCACACTCCAACAGCTCGTCAGGTCCCAAATACCATTCATCTCCATTCACTCCTATCTAACACGCTCATGCAACGCTTGCTGGAAATCCAAGCCCCTCGCCCACAAAACCTCCTTTACCCCCTCCCTCCAACCTTTTCGAGGATGACCACAACCCCACCTTCCTTCCCCTATAGATTTATATGCTCTCCATGTCATTCTACTTTGATCCATTCTCTCTAAATGACGAAACCACCTCAACAACCCCTCTTCAGCCCTCTGACTAATACTTTTATTAACTCCACACCTTCTAATTTCCACACTCCGAATTTTCTGCATAATATTTACACCACACATTGCCCTTAGACAGGACATCTCCACTGCCTCCAACCACAACCTCGCTGCTGCATTCACAACCCAAGCTTCACACCCATATAAGTGTGTTGGTACTACTATACTTTCATACATTCCCTTCTTTGCCTCCATAGATAACGTTTTTTGTCTCCACATATACCTCAACGCACCACTCACCTTTTTTCCCTCATCAATTCTATGATTAACCTCATCCTTCATAAATCCATCCGCCGACACGTCAACCCCCAAGTATCTGAAAACATTCACTTCCTCCATACTCCTCCTCCCCAATTTGATATCCAATTTTTCTTTATCTAAATCATTTGATACCCTCATCATCTTACTCTTTTCTATGTTCACTTTCAACTTTCTACCTTTACACACACTCCCAAACTCATCCACTAACCTTTGCAATTTTTCTTTAGAATCTCCCATGAGCACAGTATCATCAGCAAAAAGCAACTGTGTCAATTCCCATTTTGTATTTGATTCCCCATAATTTAATCCCATATAATATTCATTATTGGGCTGTACAAATTAAATGTTTTAATAAAAATTTGGCAGTTAATGCATAACATTAAAAGGAATACTAAACTATTCCTTTATCTTTTCCCTTACATACACAATTTGACTTGTGCAGTGATAAGATAATATGATTAGCTGTCAAATATCATTTAATGATTTAACCTAAGTCATGTTAAATCAGTCGATATGAATTATGCCTGCATATATCAAACAGCAATGAACATAAGAATGGAGGAACACTGCAGAAGGCCTACTGGACCATACAAGGCAGGTCCTTATCAAAACAACCCCTACTCAAAGTTTCCCAAGAATATCCTCCCATACCCAATGACACCAATCAAACCCAGCCCCTCCCACTCATAAATTTGTTCAATCTCTTTTTAATGCCACGCAAGGTCCTAGCCTTGATCACCCTACTTGGAAGATCGTTCCACTCATCCAAAACTCTGTTAGAAAACCAGTACTTACCTATGTCCTTTCTAAATGTAAATTTATCCAACTTAAATCCATTATTTTTTATTCTTACCTGATATGACACCCTCAGTACTTTATTAACATCACCTTTGTTTATACCCATCATCCACTTATACACTTCAATGATATCTCCCCTCATTCTACATCTCTACAGAGAGTGGAGATTCAAGGCTCTAAGTCTGTCTTCATACGGGAGATTCCTTACACAGTAAATCATTTTAGTCATTCTTCTTTGTATGCTCTCCAATGAGTCTATATCCATCCTGTAGTAATGAGACCAAAATTGAGCAGCATAATCTAAATGAGGCCTCACTAGTGATGTAAAGAGCTGTAAAATAACTTTTGGACCTCTGTTACTTATACTTCTTGAAATAAATCCTAGCAATCTGTTAGCCTTGTTGCACATACTTAGGCACTGCTGTCTTGGCTTTAGATATCTACTTACCAGTCTTTTTCACATTCTGTATGATCAAGTTTTACTTCACCTAGTTTATAACTTCAAGGGTTATTTTCATTCCCAAGGACTTGTCCACATTGAACTTCATCTGCTGTTTTTCAAACCAAGACATTAATTTGTCCAAATCCTCCTGGAGTTCATTGCTATCCTCCTGAGAATGAATCATACGGCCTATCTGTGTATCATCAGCAAATTTGCTTGTGTCACTTGTAATTCCTTCATCAAGGTCATTAATATAAATTATGAACAACAGAGGGACCAAAACTGATCCTTGTGGAATGCCACTAGTGACTAATCCCCATTCAGATTTATTTTTATTTTTTTATTTATTATCACACTGGCCGATTCCCACCAAGGCAGGGTGGCCCGAAAAAGAAAAACTTTCACCATCATTCACTCCATCACTGTCTTGCCAGAAGGGTGCTTTACACTACAGTTTTTAAACTGCAACATTAACACCCCTCCTTCAGAGTGCAGGCACTGTACTTCCCATCTCCAGGACTCAAGTCCGGCCTACCGGTTTCCCTGAACCCCTTCATAAATGTTACTTTGCTCACACTCCAACAGCACGTCAAGTATTAAAAACCATTTGTCTCCATTCACTCCTATCAAACACTCTCACGCATGCCTGCTGGAAGTCCAAGCCCCTCGCACACAAAACCTCCTTTACCCCCTCTCTCCAACCTTTCCTAGGCCGACCCCTACCCCGCCTTCCTTCCACTACAGACTGATACACTCTTGAAGTCATTCTGTTTCGCTCCATTCTCTCTACATGTCCGAACCACCTCAACAACCCTTCCTCAGCCCTCTGGACAACAGTTTTGGTAATCCCGCACCTCCTCCTAACTTCCAAACTACGAATTCTCTGCATTATATTCACACCACACATTGCCCTCAGACATGACATCTCCACTATCTCCGGCCTTCTCCTCGCTGCAACATTCTCTGCTTTCTGTTAATAAGCCATGACTATCCATGCTAGAACTTTACCTCCTATACCATGAGATGTCACTTTTTCGTAAGTCTCTTGTGAGGTACTCTGTCGAAGGCTTTACTAAAATCCAATTTTTTTTTTTTTTAACAAGTTGGCCGTCTCCCACCGAGACAGGGTGACCCAAAAAAGAAAGAAAATCCACAAAAAGAAAATGCTTTCATCATTATTCAACACTTTCACCACACTCACACATTATCACTGTTTTTGCAGAGGTGCTCAGAATACAACAGTTTAGAAGCATATACGTATAAAGATACACAACATATCCCTCCAAACTGCCAATATCCCAAACCCCTGCTTTAACGTGCAGGCATTGTACTTCCCATTTCCAGGGCTCAAGTCCGACTATATGAAAATAACCGGTTTCCCTGAATCCCTTCACTAAATATTACCCTGCTCACACTCCAACAGATCGTCAGGTCCCAAGTATCATTCGTCTCCATTCACTCCTAACACGCTCATGCACGCTTGCTGGAAGTCCAAGCCCCTCGCCCACAAAACCTCCTTTACCCCCTCTTTCCAACCCTTTCGAGGACGACCCCTACCCCACCTTCCTTCCCCTATAGATTTATATGCTTTCCATGTCATTCTACTTTGATCCATTCTCTCTAAATGACCAAACCACCTCAACAACCCCTCTTCAGCCCTCTGACTAATGCTTTTATTAACTCCACACCTTCTCCTAATTTCCACACTCTGAATTTTCTGCATAATATTTACACCACACATTGCCCTTAGACAGGACATCTCCACTGCCTCCAACCGTCTCCTCGCTGCTGCATTTACCACCCAAGCTTCACATCCATATAAGAGTGTTGGTACTACTATACTTTCATACATTCCCTTCTTTGCCTCCATAGATAATGTTTTTTGACTCCACATATACCTCAACGCATTCACTTCTTCCATACTCCTCCTCCCCAATTTGATATCCAATTTTTCTTTATCTAAATCATTTGATACCCTCATCACCTTACTCTTTTCTATGTTCACTTTCAACTTTCTACCTTTACACACATTCTCAAACTCATCCACTAACCTTTGCAGTTTTTCTTTAGAATCTCCCATAAGCACAGTATCATCAGCAAAAAGTAACTGTCAATTCCCATTTTGAATTTGATTCCCCAAAATTTAATCCTACCCCTCTCCCGAACACCCTAGCATTTACTTCCTTTACAACCTCATCTATAAATATATTAAACAACCATGGTGACATTACACATCCCTGTCTAAGACCTACTTTTACCGGGAAGTATTCTCCCTCTCTTCTACACACCCTAACCTGAGCCTCACTATCCTCATAAAAACTCTTAACAGCATTTAGTAACTTACCACCTATTCCATATACTTGCAACATCTGCCACATTGCTCCTCTATCCACTCTATCATATGCCTTTTCTAAATCCACAAATGCAATAAAAACTTCCCCACCTTTATCTAAATACTGTTCACATATATGCTTCAATGTAAACACTTGATCTACACATCCCCTACCCACTCTGAAGCCTCCCTGCTCATCCGCAATCCTACATTCTGTCTTACCTCTAATTCTTTCAATTATAACCCTACCGTATACTTTTCCTGGTATACTCAGTAAACTTATTCCTCTATAATTTTTACAATCTCTTTTGTCCTCTTTCCCTTTATATAAAGGGACTAGACATGCTCTCCGCCAATCCCTAGGTACCTTCCCCTCTTTCATACATTTATTAAACAAAAGTACCAACCACTCCAACACTATGTCCCCCCCTGCTTTTAACATTTCTGTCATGATCCCATCAGTTCCAGCTGCTTTACCCCCTTTCATTCTACGTAATGCCTCACGTACCTCCACCACACTTACATTCTGTTCTTCTTCACTCCTAAAAGATGGTATACCTCCCTGGCCAGTGCATGAAATTACCGCCTCCCTTTCTTCCTCAACATTTAAAAGTTCCTCAAAATATTCTTGCCATCTACCTAATACCTCCATCTCCCCATCTACTAACCCCCCTACTCTGTTTTTAACTGACAAATCCATACTTTCCCTAGGCTTTCTTAACTTGTTTAACTCACTCCAAAATTTTTTCTTATTTTCATTAAAATTTTTTGACAGTGCCTCTCCCACTATCATCTGCTCTCCTTTTGCACTCTCTCACCACTCTCTTCACCTTTCTTTTACTCTCCATATACTCTGCTCTTCTTATAACACTTCTGCTTTGTAAAAACCTCTCATAAGCTACCATATAAGCTATCATATTCTTTATCACTGTCTACTGCCTCAAATGCTCTACTGAAGAACTTAAGTAAATTTGTCAGGCAGAAACGACCTCTCATGAACCCATGCTGATTCATTAATCAAATTATGCTCTTCAAGGTGAATTCTAATAATGTCAGCTAAAACTGATTCTAATAATTTGCCTACTATAGATGTCAGGCATATTGGACAGTGATATGAAGGAATGGATTTATCCCCTGATTTGAATATAGGAACCACCGTGGTTGTTTAATATATTTATAAATGGGGTTGTAAGAGAAGTAAATGCGAGGGTCTTGGCAAGAGGCGTGGAGTTAAAAGATAAAGAATCACACACAAAGTGGGAGTTGTCACAGCTGCTCTTTGCTGATGACACTGTGCTCTTGGGAGATTCTGAAGAGAAGTTGCAGAGATTGGTGGATGAATTTGGTAGGGTGTGCAAAAGAAGAAAATTAAAGGTGAATACAGGAAAGAGTAAGGTTATGAGGATAAAAAAAAAGATTGGGTTGATGAAAGATTGAATATCAGATTGGGGGGAGAGAGTATGGAGGAGGTAATCTATTCAGATATTTGGGAGTGGATGTGTCAGCAGATGGTCTATAAAAAGATGAGGTGAATCATAGAATTGATGAGGGAAAAAGAGTAGTGGTGCACTTAGGAGTCTGTGGAGAGACAAAGAACTTTGTCCTTGGAGGCAAAGAGGGGAATGAAAGAGAGAAAGTTTTTAACCAACGCTCTATATGGGTGTGAAGCATGGGTGATGAATGTTGCAGCGAGGGAGAAGGCTGGAGGCAGTGGAGATGTTATGTCTGGGGCAATGTGTGGTGTGAATAAATACAGAGAATTCGTAGTTTGGAAGTTAGGGGGAGGTGCGGGATTAACCAAAAACTGTTGTCCAGAGGGCTGGGGGAAGGTTTTTTGAGGTGGTTCGGACATGTGAAGAATGGAGCAAAACAGAATGACTTCAAGAGTGTATCGTCTGTAGTGGAAGGAAGGCGGGTGGGGGTCGGCCAGAAAGGTTGGAGAGAGGGGTAGAGGAGGTTTTGTGTGTGAGGGCTTGGACTTCCAGCAGGCATGCGTGAGTGTGTTTGATAGGAGTGAATGGAGAAAAAGGGTTTTTTTAATACTTGACGTGCTGTTGGAGTGTGAGCAAAGTAACATTTATGAAGGGGTTCAGGGAAACCGGCAGGCCGGACTCGAGTCCTGGAGATGGGAAGTACAGTGCCTGCACTCTGAAGGAGGGGTGTTAATGTTGCAGTTTAAAAATTGTAGTGTAAAGCACCCTTCTGGCAAGACAGTGATGGAGTGAATGATGGCGAAAGTTTTTCTTTTTCGGGCCACCCTGCCTTGGTGGGAATCGGCCAGTGTGATAAAAAAAAAAAAAAAAAAAAAAAAAATTAGCCATCTTCCACATCTCAGGCACAACACCAGTAAGGATGGACGAATTAAACACACTCGTTAATGGCTGACTAAGTTCTATCTTGCATTCTTTAAGTACCCTGGAAAACAACTCGTCGGGTCCCGGGGACTTATTTTGCTTTAGTTTGTCTATCTGATAACCATGTCCCTCGTGACAGTAATATTAGTTAATTTGAATTCATCAGGAACTGAATTATCATTAATTTCTGGAATCTCATTTATGTCTTCCTGTGAAAAACTGTACAAATATAGGTAGAGTTATCAACAATGTTAGGTACGAAATGAGCAACTAATGATAGATTTACTACAGCTGCCTTTTGATCTCCAGAGACTATAAAGTGTAGTTACAGTCTTTTGTTGGTTGCAATAAACATACCTTATGCTCAGCATTCTTGTTGAAAAGGCATGGATCGTGGTCAATAAGACGCAAGGTTTTGGCACGGTCTAAAAACAGCACCAGCAAGAGGAACTTCTTCAGTTGGAAATTTTTTATGGCATCATCATAACCAGTGCGATAGGAATGTGGAACTGAAGGATGGGCATATTGTGCTGCTATGTCAGGATTATTTAGCAACCTAAAAGGAAAAGAATTAAAAATCTGAAGAAACATGAGCATTACCAAAGAAAAAAAAAATACATTTATAAATATCAAATATTACAACTGTTATTTAGAAAATTACAAATTAAAACAAATATTAATTTGTATCTCAATATGTTTAAACCAATATGTAAAGAAAACTTAAGAAAAATTTTAGCGATTAAATAAAATCAATCTGGCTTACTAGTTAGGATAATTATTAATCATAAATAATTATCAAGGAGTGAAGACAATTGTAATTAAATATAATTGTGATCATATACCATAAACCCTTGATTTATTGCATAAGAGAAATTGGTTACATAAAATCCTATTTTATAATTTGTCTTGATTTACCAGACTATTCTGGACTTGCTTCAAACACACACACAAATTATCTCAATCTGGGATGGAGTGATAGTGAAGAACAATCTTAATCATTGTACTGACCTTTACTATAATTTTTGTGGCATAGATAAAAAAAAATTCTTTTTATACACATACCTAATTATAACATTTGTGCATGCCAATAACTATGAACTGTAATATGGTTATTACACGTAAACTCACATTTAATAATGCTCTATCATCTGGATTAAGTGTAAGGAATTCTTTTTTTTTTTTTTTTCAGCAAGTCGGCCGTCTCCCACCGAGGCAGGGTGACCCAAAAAAGAAAAAATCCCCAAAAAGAAAATACTTTCATCATCATTCAACACTTTCACCTCACTCACACATTATCACTGTTTTTGCAGAGGTGCTCAGAATACAACAGTTTAGAAGCATATACGTATAAAGATACACAACATATCCCTCCAAACTGCCAATATCCCAAACCCCTCCTTTAAAGTGCAGGCATTGTACTTCCCATTTCCAGGACTCAAGTCCGACTATATGAAAATAACCGGTTTCCCTGAATCCCTTCACTAAATATTACCCTGCTCACACTCCAACAGATCGTCAGGTCCCAAGTATCATTCGTCTCCATTCACTCCTATCTAACACGCTCACGCACGCTTGCTGGAAGTCCAAGCCCCTAGCCCACAAAACCTCCTTTTAGATGCATCTTACCATTGTAATTAATACAAATATACTATATTCAGATCTAATAAAATAACCATCCAAGCATTTCTTTAACTCTTTTTACCATTAGCATTCTTTGTTTTTGTGAGAACCCTTCTTAACCCTTTGACTGTTTCAGGCCCCTCTCTGAAACTGTCATTCTATGTCGCCAAATATTCAAAAAAAAAAATTATTTTTTCTTATGAAAATGTTAAGATTATTTTTCTGAGTGTTTTAGTCCAAAAAAAAAATTTTTGCCATCGGTACTTACCGAGATATAGAGCCGTGAAGTTTGCAGAAAATGAGCCGCATATGGCAACAGCGGCGACTGCCGCTCACCCGGTAAACTTTAGTTTACTTGTAATTGAAGGTTTTTTGTTTTTTTCACTATTTTATTTTTTCACATAACTTATGTGGCCTATGAGACCAAAGTAAGGTGCAATGTATATATATACACTCGTTGTATACAACACAATAAGCACACAAACATAATTATCAATATATTGTTTACAAAACTTGTTTACAAAAACAAACAAACAAACAAACAAACAAAATCATCATCATCATCATCATCCTCCTCCTCCTCCTGCTCCTTCTCCTCCTTCTCCTCCTCCTTCTCCTTCTCCTCCTCCTCCTCCTTCTCCTCCTCCTCCTCCTCCACCTCCTCCTCCTCCTCCTTCTCCTCCTCCTCCTTCTCCCCACCTCCTTCTTTCCCCCTCCTCTCTCCTCCTCCTCCTCCCCCCTCCTTCTCCTCCTCCCCTTCTCCTCCTCCTCCTCCCCCTCCTCCCTCCTCCTCCCTCCTCCTCCCCCTCCTCCTCCCCCTCCCCTCCCCCCCCTCCTCTCCTCCTCCTCCTTCTCCTCCCTCCTCCCCCTCCCCCTCCTCCTCCCTCCCCTCCTTTTCCCTCCCCTTCTCCCCCCCCCCCCCTCCTTTCTTCTCCTCCCTCCTCCTCCACCCCTCCTCCTTCCCCCCCTCCTCCCCCTCCTCCTTCTCCTCCCCTCCTTCTCCCCCCCCTCCTCCTCCTCCCCTCCCCTTCCCCCTCCTCCTCCTCCTTCCCTCCTTCCTCCTTCCTCCTCCCCTTCTCCTCCCCTCCTCCTCCTCCTCCTCTCCTCCTCCTCCTTTCCTCTCCCCTCCTTTTTCTCCCCTCCTCCTTCTCCTCCTCCTCCTTCCCTCCTCCTCCCCTTCTCCTCCTCCTCCCCCTCCTCCTCCTCTCCTCCCTCCTCCCCTCCTTCTCCTCCTCCTCCTCCTCCTCCTCCTCCCCCCCTCCTTCTCCTCCTCCCCCCCTCCCCCCTCCTCCTCCTTCCCTCCTCCTTCTCCCTCCTCTCCCCTCCCTTCTCCTCCTCCTTCTCCTCCTCCTTCTCCTCCTCCTCCCCTCTCCTCCCTCCTCCCATCCTTCCTCCTCCTCCTCACCTTCTCCTCCTCCTCCTTCCCTCCTCCTCCTTCTCTCTCCTCCTCCTTCTCCTCCTCCTTCCCTTCCTCCTCCTCCTCCTCCTTCTCCTCCTCCTTCTCCCCCCACCCTTCCCCCTCCTTCTCCTTCTCCCCTCCTCCACCTCTCCTCCTCCTCCTTTTCCTCCTCTTTCTCCTCCTCCTCCTTCTCCTCCTCCTTCTCCTCCTCCTTCTCCTCCTCCTTCTCCTTCCCCCTTCCCCCTCCTCCCCCCTTCTTCCTTTCCTCCTCCTTCTTTCCCCCTCCTTCCCCCTTCTCCCTTCCTCCTCCCCCTTCCTCCTCCTCCTTCTCCTCCCCTTCCCTTCTCCTTCCCCCCTCTCCCCTTTCCCTTTTCCTCCTCCTCCTCCTTTTCTCCTCCTCCTCCTTCTCCTCCTTCCCTTTCTCCTCCTCCTTTTCCTCCTTCTCCCTCCTCCCCCTTCTCCCTCCTCCTTCTCCTCCTCCTCCTTTCCCCCTCCTTCCCCACCCTCCTTCTCCTCCTCCCCCTCCTCCTTCCTCCTCCTCCTCCTTCTCCTCCTCCCCTCCTCCTTTCCTCCTCCTCCTCCTCCTCCTTCTCCTCCTCCTCCTTCTCCTCCTCCTCTCCTCCTCCTCCTCCTCCCTTTTCCTCCTCCTCCTTCTCCTCCTCCACTCCTCCTCCTCCTCCTTCTCCTCCTCCTCCTCCTCCTCCTTTCCCCTCCTCCTCCTCCTCCTTTTTCCTTCTCCTCCTCCTTCTCCTTCTCTCCTCCTCCTTCTCCTTTCCTCCTCCCCCTCCTTCTCCTCCTCCTTCCCCCTCCCTCCCCCCTCCCTCCTCCTTCTCCTCCTCCTCCTTCTCCCCCCCTCCTTCTCCTCCTCCTTTCCTCTCATCCTTCTCCTCCTCCTTCTCCTTCCTCCTCCTTCTCCCTCCTCCTTCCTCCTCCTCCCTCCTCCCCCCCTTCCTTTTCTCCTCCTTCCCCCCTCCTCCCCCCTTTCCTCCTCCTCCTCCCCTTCTCCTTCTCCTCCTCCTTCTTTTCCTTCTCCTCCTCCTCCTCCTCCTCCTTCTCCTCCTCCTCTCCTCCTTCTCCTCCTCCTCCTCCTCCTCCCCCCTCCTTCTCCTCTCCTTCTCCTCCTCCTTCTCCTCCTCCTTCTCACTCCTCCCTCCTCCTTCTTCTCCTCCTTTCCCCCTCCTTCTCCTCCTCCTTCTTCTCCCCCTTTCCCTTTTTCTCCTCCTCCTTCTTCTCCTCCCTCCTTCTCCCTTTTTCTCCTCTCCTTCTCCTCTTCTCCTCCTCCTCTCCTTCTTTCTCCCCTCCTTCTTCCCTCCTCCTTTTCCTCCTCCTTCTCCTCCTCCTCCTCCTTTCCTCCTCCTTTCCTTCCTTTCCTTCTCCCCCTCCTCCTCTCCTTCTCCTCCTCCTCCTCCTCCTCCTCCTCCTCCTTGTCTTGTGTGCGAGTGTGGGCTTAAATTGTTTGAGTCAGAATCGGCACTGTCAAAGTGACATGTCTCATTAGTCAACTACCCCTACCGGCCTGTCAAAAAAAAAATGGGGTCGGGTGCTGCTTCCCTCCTCCATTCTATCTAATTATCTTTTCCCCCAATTCTTACTTTCAAACTGTCTCTCTTTCTATCTGTCTGCCTATCTTCTTCTCACGGTTCACATAAATACAGTATACATAGTGTAAATTACCTAGATAACCCAAGAATCCAAACAAAGTGCTATACTCTGCTTGAAATGTGAGAAACGTGATGACACAGTCTTGTGGCCTCTCTCTGAAAACAGAAGAGCTAGTGGACAGACAGGGAGCATGAACAGACAGACAAATAGACAGACAGAAATGTTTGTGTACCAGCAAAAACAAAGGGAGGGCGATGGTCATGTAATATTACCCTCCTTTACGCTCATCAAAGTCAGCTCTTATCATGATGTTATCTCCCCTTATCTTGTCACTGTCATGGGGTGGACTTTTTTTTTTCTTGCTTCAAGGGAACAATATTATTACATCTTCTTCCTCCTCCTCCTCCTCCTCCTCCTCCTCCTCTTCCTTCCCTCCTCCTCCTCCTTCCCTCCTCCTCCTCCTCCTCATCCATTGCTTTTGGTCTCAAACTCCTCCAAATCATGAAATTGATCTTCACTGACACTTCCATCTGTGTTAGAGCATCACTTGGGAAGAGAAGAGTCCCAGATTTGCTGGGGAATCGCATATTTCTTACCGCTAGACATGCTGAAAAATGACAACTGAAATGGCATTCCCACAATGCACCACTGGCTCCCCGATTTTTTTTATATGGTGCACACTGACCATGGAGACCCATTCTCTCACATGTGGGCCTACCAGCTTTCTCCTGCTTGATTTGAAGCTGCTAGAATTTATGCGTATAAATACGTCAGAAACATTGGCTCGTAAGACGTATTTATACGTCGGAAACAGTCAAAGGGTTAAAAGCATGTAATAATTCCTGTTAACAGTAAGCTTGCCAGTTTGCATATTACCTAAGAATAAAATGAGATGTATAGTGTTCCCGCAAAGGGATTTGCTACCAAATTTCAACAGGAAGCTAAAGTTTTACAAACCTACCTGCTACAGGATTAATGTTATTGGGAAAAAAATAAATAAATAATAACAAGAGGCTGAGGGCTAGAGCACCTAAACAGTGCATGTATTTACTAACATAAAACAAGACTAACCTGGTGATTAGAAACTGGGTGAGGCCAGTCATGTCACTGTTGCTGTTAAGATCCAGTAATTCACCATAGACAGTTTCCAAACCAATGCGTAGCCAAAGAGGATTGTAACACAGCACCAGCTGCAGCATCACCTGCTTCAAACCTGAAAAAATCAATAATTTTTATATACTTCAAGAATCATACTGATCACATTTAACAAACATTTAATTTCACATAAATACTTTTTTAAAAAATAGTAATCAACAAGGAAACAATATATTATGCTGTAAACACCTCAATATATTCCCTATACATAGAATGTACTTAACATAGGATTTTTTTTTTTTGATTATAGAAAAATATTCCTAGGTAGTAGGTTGGTAAACAGCAACTGCCCAGGGAGGTACTACCGTCCTGCCAAGTGAGTGTACAACGAAAACCTGTAATTGTTTTACATGATGGTAGGATTGCTGGTGTCTTACACCACACATTACCCTTAGACAGGACATTTCCACTACCTCCAACTGCCTCCTCGCTGCAGCATTTACAACCTAAGCTTCACACCCATATAAGAGTGTTGGTTCTACTATACTTTCATACATTCCCTTCTTTGCCTCCATAGATAACATTTTTTGTCTCCACATATACCTCAATGCACCACTCGCCTTTTTTCCTTCATCAATTCTATGATTAACCTCATCCTTCACAAATCCATCCACTGACACGTCAACTCCCAAATATCTGAAAACATTCACTTCTTCCATACTACTCCTCCCCAATTTGGTATCCAATTTTTCTTTATCTAAATCATTTGATACCCTCATCACCTTACTCTTTTCTATGTTCACTTTCAACTTTCTACCTTAACACACACACCCAAATTCATCCACTAACCTTTGCAATTTTTCTTTAGAAACTCCCATAAGCACAGTATCATCAGCAAAAAGTAACTCACTTCCCATTTTGCATTTGATTCCTCATAATTTAATCTCACCCCTCTCCCGAACACCCTACCACTTACTTCTTTTACAACCCCATCTATAAATATATTAAACAACCATGGTGACATCACACATCCCTGTCTAAGACCTACTTTTACCGGGAAGTAGTCTCCCTCTCTTCTACACACCCTAACCTGAGCCTCACTATCCTCATAAAAACTCTCTACAGCATTTAGTAACTTACCACCTATTTCATATACTTGCAACATCTGCCACATTGCTCCCCTATCCACTCTATCATATACCTTTTTTAAATCCATAAATACAATAAAAACTTCCCTACCTCTATCTAAACAATGTTCACATATATGCTTCAATGTAAACACTTGATCTACACATCCCCTACCCACTCTAAAACCTCCTTGCTCATCCACAATTCTACATTGTCTTACCTCTAATTCTTTCAATAATAACCCTACCGTACACTTTTACTAATATACTCAGTAATATTTATATAATTGTTAAAAAAAATATTTTTTTTGTGAATATTTTTGTCTGGAACAGATTAATTGTATTTACATTAATTCTTATGAGAAATATTTCGGTTTTCGGCCGACCTTCTGGAATTGACTACGGCCAATAACTGAGGGTCCACTGTACCATGTTCTAATTTTTTTACATTAACTAATCTAAAACACTGCAAACTTACCAACATCAGCATGAGTCAATCTGTCTTTACGAATAGCCAGATATTTTTTATCAATGGCTGTTTCTAGTTTCATTACAACATCTACCATCTCCTCACTTTGGTAGAAACGGCACGCCTTTCTTCGCAACCGGTTCAACCTTCGCCTTGCAGAATAGGTCCTTAAGGATAAAACTTCTTTGGTTGGTGCAACTTGAGTGTGTTTGCCCTTTGTAGCTTCTGACCACAGTTGTCCCATGTCAACTGCAAATACAATTACTGTATTATACAAGACAAATTTCTAACAGATATTTACGTTAACTATTGGCAGAAAGGTGGGCTAGTGCAAGTATGGGTAGTGGAGGGAGGAGGGGGGGGGGGAGGTTGAAGAGGGATGGGATAGTTTTAAAAATGCAGTATTAGAATGTGGGGCAGAAGCTTGTGGCTATAGGAGGGTGGGGGCAGGAGGAAAGAGGAGTGATTGGTGGAATGATGAGGTAAAGGGAATGATAAAAGAGAAAAAGGTAGCTAATGAGTTTTTTTTTTTTTTTTTTTATACAAAGTGATACAAGGAGAACAGAGTATATGGAGAGTACAAGAAAGGTGAAGAGTGGTGAAAGTGCAAAAGGAGAGCAAATGATAAGAGTGGGAGAGGCATTGTCAAAAAATTTTGCTGAAAATAAGAAAAAATTTTTGGAGTGAGATAAGTTAAGAAAGCCTAGGAAGCGAATGGATCTGTCAGTTAAAAAGAGTAGGGAAGTTAGTTGATGGGGAACTGGAGGTATTGGGTAGATGGCAGGAATATTTTGAGGAACTTTTAAGTGTCGATGAAGAAAGGGAGGCAGTAATTTCATGCACTGGACAGGGAGGTATAACATCTTTTAGGAGTGAAGAAAAACAGGATGTGAGTGTGGGAGAGGTGCACGAGGCATTACACAGAATGAAAGGGATTAAAGCAGTTGGAACTGATAGGATCATGACAAATGTTAAATGCAGGGGGAGATAGTGCTGGAGTGGTTGGTGTTTCTGTTTAACCCTTGCAGGGTCGGTGTCATACTAGTACAGCTTGCACGCCAGGGTTGGTGCCATACTAGTACTACATGTAAATTCTAGCGCCTTCAAATCTAGTGAGAAAGCTGGTTGGCCTACATATGAAAGAATGGGTCTATGTGGTCAGTGTGCACAGTATAAAAAAAATCTTGCAGCACAGTGCATGAGAAAAAAAAAAAAAACTCCAATCATGTTTTTGGTTTAAAACAGCGACTTTGTAGTGTATTTTCGTATGGTATTTATGGTTGCATTCTCGTTTTCCTGGTCTCATTTTATAGAATGGAACACACATTACATAAATTGAGATGATTTTGATTAGTTTCACAATGAAATTGAGCTCAAAGTACCAGAAATGTTTGAGTTTTGCCAATGTTCAAAAGTAAACAAATCATGCCACGCGTCCAATACACGTCAACTGGCGAGTCTAATATTCTTCTGTAAGTTCGCTGATATTATTTAAACCATGTCTACATTAATGCATTAGTCTGCATAACAGTAAATCTTCTATTTTTTGTGAGAATAAAAATTCAAAGTGGAAAGCAAAAGAAATGTAAGAGGGACCTGGGGATGTGACTAACGAACAGAGAAAATGTCATTTTAGTGCCAGGAATGTCTGTCTTGTTTATTCTGGACCCTATTTGGAAATTGGCATCTTTTGAAATGTGTGTGAAATTGGCAAAATTGCCAATTTCTGACCACTTTATTGTATAGTTGAAATCTGTAAATGAGAGGTTTCTCGTACTAATTCGATAGAACAAATGGAGTTCTAGCAAAATAGTTATGATTTTTGTCGACTGGTACACTGGAATTCGCCGAAAATAGGGCTCAAAGTGGGCGAAATCGCTGATGCATAAACATCGTCGAGACCGCTAACTTCGCGAGAGCATAATTCCCTAAGTTTTCCATCAATTTTCATACTTTTGGTGTCATTATGATCGGGAAAAGATTCTCTATCATTTCTTAAGAATATATATATATAATATATATATATTTTTTTTTTTTTTTTGAAAAATTTTCGACCCTGAGAACAAGTTTAGGAGAGGGCCTCTCGACCCTGAAAGGGTTAATAAATGTATAAAAGAGGGGAAGGTACCTAGGGATTGGCAGAGAGCATGCATATTTCCTTTATATAAAGGGAAGGGGACAAGAGAGATTGTAAAAATTATAGGGGAATAAGTTTACTGAGTATGCCAGGTAAAGTGTACAGTAGGGTTATTACTGAGAGAATTAGAGGTAAGACAGTAGGATTACAGATGAGCAAGGAGGCTTTAGAGTGGGTAGGGGATGTGTAGATCAAGTGTTTACACTGAAGCATATACAGTTGGGCCCAACTTAGACAGCAGGTTAGGTTCCAGGCTACTGCCAGAAAGCAGACATCACTGGAAAGCGGAACGCCATTTTTTCCACTTATAAATGCATATAAATGCCAGATAGCAAGTTTACACTAACATATATTAACCCTTTGACAGTTTCGGCCGTATATATACATCTTACGAGCCACCGTTTATGACGTATATATACTCAAATTCTAGTGGCTTCAAATCAAGCATGAGTAAGCTGGTAGGCCCACATGTGAGAATGGGTCTGTGTGCACCACATAAAAAAAATCCTGCAGCACGCAGTGCACAATGAGAAAAAAACTACGACCGTTTCTTTTAATTAAAATGCCGACTTTGTGGTCTATTTTCTTATAGTATTTATGGTTGTATTATCGTTTTCTTGGTCTCATTTGATAGAATGGAACATATATTATAGAAATAGAGATGATTTTGATTGATTTTACTATGAAAAGAACCTTGAAATGGAGCTCAAAGTAGGGGAAATGTTGATTTTTGCTTATGTTCAAAGGTAAACAAATGATGTCATTTTCCAATAAATGTCCAAGTAACCATTCTAATATGCAGTCATGAATGGGTTGACATTATTTATACAATTATTACAATATTGCAGTAGTCTGCATAACATTAAATCTTCTACTTTTTGTTTGAATAAAAATTCAAAATAGAAAGCAAGAGTAATATCAGAGGGGGCATGGAGACGTGACTGATAAACAAAGAAAATGTTATTTTAGAGCCACGAATGTCTGCATTATTCATTCTGGACCCTATTTTGAAACTGTCATATTTTATAATTTTCGTGAAATTGGCCAAATTGCAAATTTCTGACCACGTCATTGGGTAATTGAAATTGGTAAATGGGCAGTTTCTTGTACTCAATCGATAGAAAAAAATATGTAGTTCTAAAGAAATAGCTACGAGTCTGGTCGACCAGAACAATGGAATTAGCCAAAAATAGGGCTCAAAGTGGGTAAAATCGCAGATACATAAATATCGCCAAGGTTGTTAACTTCGCGAGAGCGTAATTCTGTCAGTTTTCCATCAAATTTCGTTATTTTGGTGTCATTACAATAGGGAAAAGATTCTCTATCATTTCACAAGATTTTGTGTGTGTGATGGGGGGGGGGGGGGGGTTGGAATTTTGCAACACCAGGAGACACCTCAGGATTTGGAGTTGCAACAGTCAAGGGGTTAAATTAGTAATAGAACTAGGCATTAAAAACAGAGTATAAAACACAGTATACCCATTACTTACCTTAAAATATCTGTAGTCTTAATGTAGGGTGAGAGGTGAGTTTTATTTGTAGGAAGTCAGGTTTGGGACGTATGGTAGCCAGCCAAGGCAGCCCTCCCCGCCCCACCCCACCCACACAATGTGGGTGGGGTTGGGCAGGGAGGGGCGAAGACGTCTGGTGTTCGTTCATACACTTTTTATTATACCCTTCTGGCAAGACAGTGATGGAGTGAATGATGGTGAAAGTTTTTCTTTTTCGGGCCACCCTGCCTTGGTGGGAATCGGCCGGTGTGATAATAAATAATAATAAAATAAATACAAACGCTTTACATTGTGGACAAGTTGTCTTCACGTTGATACAGTAGAATAAATAAAGACCAACACTTCCATTCTCACGTAATTTTTAGAAAGAATGATGCTCTGGCAAATTATTATTACAAGTTATTATTATTATAATTATAATAAAAAATAAGCACTAAACCCACAAGGGTCATGAACAGCTATAGATAGAGTGAAGGCATACGAAAGGAAACGTAATTCTTCGACTCTCCTACCAAACACTTGGTATACAAATCTCATATATTTATGTCAATTTTTATACTGTGGGTGTGTGTATCATGATTATATGTTACGTAGTATGTTTATTATATAATTTTGAAAAAAAAATCATATGGATTAATGGAAATGTCTATATAGGTGGCCCTCCACATTTGTGAGGATTAGGGGATAAAGAACCTCACAAACGTTGAAAATTCACGAATATTTGGTGCACGAATATATTGTAGGGAAACATAACAATAGCATTTACTTAGCCTAACAATACTGCTTTCTTAACCTATTGAACCATGAACAATCATAAAACACATGAAAATATCGTAAAATACACACTTGTATATACATACATTTTTTTTTTTTTTATCACACTGGCTGATTCCCACCAAGGCAGGGTGGCCTGAAAAAGAAAAACTTTCACCATCATTCACTCCATCACTGTCTTGCCAGAAGGGTGCTTTACACTACAGTTTTTAACCCTTTCAGGGTCCAAGGCCCAAATCTGGAGTCACGCACCAGTGTCCAAGAATTTTCAAAAAAAAAATTTGTTATTTTTTCTTATGAAATCGTAGAGAATCTTTTTGTGAAGGTAATAAAACAAAAAGTACGAAATTTGGTGGAAAATTGACGAAATTATGCTCTCGCGAATTTTGATGTGTCAGCAATATTTACGAATCGGCGATTTTGCCGACTTTGACTCCCATTTTACGCCAATTACATTATTCCAATCAACCAAATTCTTAGCTATTTCACTAGTATTACTTCTATTCTATCGATTGAGCACAAGAAATCGCCAAGTCAACTGTTTCAACTACAAAATAAAGTGATCGGAAATTGTTAATTTGGCCAATTTAACACAAAGTTTAAAATATTCCTATTTCAAAATAGGGTCCAGAATGAACAATGTAGGCATTCCTGGCACTAAACTAACATTTCCTCTGTTCATTAGTTATGTTTTGAGGCTTTACAAATAAATTCCATTTTGATTTTTTATTCACATAATGAATTTTTATTCACACCAAAAAATAGAAGATTTACTGTTATGCAATACTGTAATAATTGTATAAATATCATCACCATATTTGTGAATGTATATTAGACCCCCAGCTGACGTGTATTAGACGTGTGAGGTCGTTTGTTTACTCTTGAATATCGGCAAAAATTTAACATTTCTGCTACTTTGAGCTCAGTTTCAAGCCATTTCCAGTGCTAAAACCCAAACAAAATCATCTCTATTTCTGTAATATGTTTTCCATTCTATCAAATGAGACCAAGAAATCGCAAATACAACTATAAAAAACATACGAAAAAACACTGCAAAGTTGTTGTTTTAATCGAAAAATCATGATTTCATTTTTTTTCTCTCATTATACACAGTGTGCTGCAGGATCTGTTTTATGTGGTGCACACATACCACATAGATGTATTCTCTCATATCTAGGCCCAAATGTACCACTCACAGTTTATCAGAGTGAGCTGAGCTCATGGCGTAGATCTACGGTTTGGACCCTGAACGTAAAGCCGTAGATCTACGGGACGGACCCTGAAAGGGTTAAACTGCAACATTAACACCCCTCCTTCAGAGTGCAGGCACTGTACTTCCCATCTCCAGGACTCAAGTCCGGCCTGCCCGTTTCCCCGAACCCCTTCATAAATGTTACTTTGCTCACACTCCAACAGCACGTCAAGTATTAAAAACCATTTGTCTCCATTCACTCCTATCAAACACACTCACACATGTCTGCTGGAAGTCCAAGCCCCTCGCACACAAAACCTCCTTTACCCCCTCCCTCCAACCTTTCCTAGGCCGACCCCTACCCCGCCTTCCTTCCACTACAGACTGATACACTCTTGAAGTCATTCTGTTTGGCTCCATTCTCACTACATGTCCGAACCACCTCAACAACCCTTCCTCAGCCCTCTGGACAACAGTTTTGGTAATCCCGCACCTCCTCCTAACTTCCAAACTACGAATTCTCTGCATTATATTCACACCACACATTGCCCTCAGACATAACATCTCCACTGCCTCCAGCCTTCTCCTCGCTGCAACATTCATCACCCATGCTTCACACCCATATAAGAGCGTTGGTAAAAACTATACTCTATACATTCCCCTCTTTGCCTCCAAGGACAAAGTTCTTTGTCTCCACAGACTCCTATGTGCACCACTCACCCTTTTCCCTCATCAATTCTATGATTCACCTCATCTTTCATAGACCCATCCGCTGACACGTCCACTCCCAAATATCTGAATACATTCACTTCCTCCATACTCTCTCCCTCCAATCTGATATCCAGTCTTTCATCACCTAATCTTTTTGTTATCCTCATAACCTTACTCTTTCCTGTATTCACTTTTAATTTTCTTCTTTTGCATACCCTACCAAATTCATCCACCAATCTCTGCAACTTCTCTTCAGAATCTCCTAAGAGCACAGTGTCATCAGCAAAGAGCAACTGTGACAACTCCCACTTTATGTGTGATTCTTTATCTTTTAACTCCACGCCTCTTGCCAAGACCCTCGCATTTACTTCTCTTACAACCCCATCTATAAATATATTAAACAACCACGGTGACATCACACATCCTTGTCTAAGGCTTACCTTCACTGGGAAATAATTTCCCTCTTTCCTACATACTCTAACTTGAGCCTCACTATCCTCATAAAAACTCTTCACTGCTTTCAGTAACCTATCTCCTACACCATACACCTGCAACATCTGCCACATTGCCCCCCTATCCACCCTGTCATACGCCTTTTCCAAATCCATAAATGCCACAAAGACCTCTTTAGCCTTATCTAAATACTGTTCACTTATATGTTTCACTGTAAACACCTGGTCCACACACCCCCTACCTTTCCTAAAGCCTCCTCGTTCATCTGCTATACTATTCTCCGTCTTACTTTTAATTCTTTCAATAATAACTCTACCATACACTTTACCAGGTATACTCAACAGACTTATCCCCCTATAATTTTTGCACTCTCTTTTGTCCCCTTTGCCTTTATACAAAGGAGCTATGCATGCTCTCTGCCAATCCCTAGGTACCTTACCTTCTTCCATACATTTATTAAATAATTGCACCAACCACTCCAAAACTATATCCCCACCTGCTTTTAACATTTCTATCTTTATCCCATCAGTTTAAGCCCTGAAGTGCCTTGCAAGACAAATAAACAAAAAAGAAAGCAGTATACGCTTACAGAATTGTCCGTTCTGTTCAACCTTGGATGTTGGTGAAATTTTATACAAGATCAGTAAATATGACAATATAGATTATGTAATAAACAAAATGTTTCTGGTATGAGTATACAAGAGTATACATGTTTCTGTTTTGATATCACAACATTCAGTTTTGCATATGATAATGTATTCGTACTTTATGCATAAAGGCCACAATTCCATTCATCTACAACAGTGACATTTATGCTGAACTTAAAAAATAAGCTTACCTTTCTTTACTTTCAATGCAACATCTTCCTCCTCAGGGGGAGTCAAAATGAAATTTAACCACTTGGTAAATCCACTAATCTGTTTTTCTATCCATCTGTCATCATAGTACATGTTCCTGGTAAAATGCCAAAAAAATTACAAAAATAAAATTCTTAAAAGTAATAACAGTATTATAAACGTTTTCTAAAGCATTAATTATGTACACTATTTGTATAATGAGGAAATTACAACTTTATTTTAATTTAAACATCCTACTTAAAAGACTGAAAATACAATACAGTGTATTTGAAACTGCCACCAGTTTTTAATTTTTTCTCTAAAACTTAATATAGCTCAATACCAAAGAAGCAATGGGGGATGGAAATCTTTAGCTTAAGATTTTTCACACCTTTCTGTTTTAACAGGAGCTATGCAATGTTGCAAGAGTTGCAATACACAGACTGAGGGAAAGTTTTCTCAGAGGAAAGGTAGCATGTTGAAGCTGACTTCTTCTGCTTGTCAACACTACCTTTCCTGAGAAAAGCTTCCCCTCAATCTACCTGTTACAGCTCTTGCAACATTGCACAGCTCCTGCTAAAGCACAGAGAACTGTGAAAGATCTTGAGCTGAAGATTTCCATCCCCACCCATGGCTTGTTTGGCACTGTTAAGATTGCCCATCTGAGACTGTATCGCATAACTATACAAAAGTGTTGTAGCTGTGTTGTAGTTGTGCTGTAGTGTGTTGTAGCTGTGTTGTAACTGTTAGTTAAGACCAACATGGAGGACACACAGGTGATGTATCATGTGTCTTATTATGTTGTAGCTGTGTTGTAGTGTTGTAGCTGTGTTGTAGTTGTGCTGTAGTGTGTTGTAGTTGTGCTGTAGTGTGTTGTAGCTGTGTTGTATTGTAGCTGTGTTGTAGTTGTGTTGTAGCTGTGTTGTAGTGTGTTGTAGTTGTATTGTAGCATGTTGTAGTTGTGTTGTAGCTGTGTTGTAGTGTGTTGGTGATGGAGCTGTGTTGTAGTGTGTTGGTGATGTAGCTGTGTTGTAGTGTGTGTTGGTGATGTAGCTGTGTTGTAGTGTGTGTTGGTGATGTAGCTGTGTTGTAATGTGTGTTGGTGATGTAGCTGTGTTGTAGTGTGTGTTGGTGATGTAGTGTGTGTTGGTGATGATGTAGTATGTGTTGGTGATGATGTAGTGTGTGTTGATGTTGTAGTGTGTGTTGTAATGTGTGTTGGTGATGTTGTAGTGTGTGGTGGTGATGTAGCAGTGTTGTAGTGTGTGTTGGTGATGTAGCTGTGTTGTAGTGTGTGTGTGTTGGTGATGTAGCTGTGTTGTAGTGTGTGTTGGTGATGTAGCTGTGTTGTAGTGTGTGTTGGTGATGTAGCTGTGTTGTAGTGTGTTGGTGTTGTAGCTGTGTTGTAGTGTGTGTTGGTGATGTAGCTGTGTTGTAGTGTGTGTTGGTGATGTAGCTGTGTTGTAGTGTGTATTGGTGTTGTAGCTGTGTTGTAGTGTGTGTTGGTGTTGTAGCTGTGTTGTAGTGTGTGTTGGTGATGTAGCTGTGTTGTAGTGTGTGTTGGTGTTGTAACTGTGTTGTAGTGTTGGTGATGTAGCTGTGTTGTAGTGTGGTGGTGATGTAGCTGTGTTTTATTGTGTGTTGATGTAGCTGTGTTGTAGTGTGTGGTGTTGATGTAGCTGTGTTGTAGTGTGTGGTGTTGATGTAGCTGTGTTGTAGTGTGTTGATGTAGCTGTGTTGTAGTGTGTTGATGTAGCTGTGCTGTAGTGTGGTGATATAGCTGTGTTGTAGTGTGTGGTGGTGATGTAGCTGTGTTTTAGTGTGTGTTGATGTAGCTGTGTTGCAGTGTGGTGGTGATGTAGCTGTGTTGGAGTTTGGTGGTGATGTAGCTGTGTTGGAGTTTGGTGGTGATGTAGCTGTGTTGGAGTTTGGTGGTGATGTAGCTGTGTTGGAGGAGTGTGGTGATGTAGCTGTGTTAGTGTTAACACAGCTGTACTGAAGTAATGTATCATGTGTTAACACAGCTGTACTGAAGTAATGTATCATGTGTTAACACAGCTGTACTGAAGTAATGTATCACGTGTTAACACAGCTGTACTGAAGTAATGTATCATGTGTTAACACAGCTGTACTGAAGTAATGTATCATGTGTTAACACAGCTGTACTGAAGTAATGTATCATGTGTTAACACAGCTGTACTGAAGTAATGTATCATGTGTTAACACAGCTGTACTGAAGTAATGTATCATGTGTTAACACAGCTGTACTGAAGTAATGTATCATGTGTTAACACAGCTGTACTGAAGTAATGTATCATGTGTTAACACAGCTGTACTGAAGTAATGTATCATGTGTTAACACAGCTGTACTGAAGTAATGTATCATGTGTTAACACAGCTGTACTGAAGTAATGTATCATGTGTTAACACAGCTGTACTGAAGAAATGTATCATGTGTTAACACTGGACAAGCACCTAAAGTCGGTACCTGACCAGCCGGGCTGTGGCTCGTACGTTGGTTTGCGTGCAGCCAGCAGTAACAGCCTGCTTGATCAGGCTCTGATCCACCAGGAGGCCTGGTCACAGACCGAGCCACGGGGGCGTTGACCCCTGGAACTCTCTCCAGGTAAACTCCTCACCACTAGAAATTTCAAATCTCTCCAACCCCATCATTTTTTTTTTAAACACAAAGGCCAAGATAGAATGACCCAAAGAACTAAAAATACATCATTCAAAAGATTTCTTGCCAGAAGAGCTCAAACATGACAATTCAGACAACACTCTGAGCTGAAGCATCCATACAAGAGTGCAGGCACTGTGCTCCACATCTCCAGGATCCAGCTAACTGGTTTCCCCTGAATCCTCACACAATGTTACTTTACTCACAATCCAACATCACAAAGCCATAAAGACCATTTGTCACCACTCTGATCTAACACATTCATACAAACCTGCTGGATGCCAAAGCCCCTAGCACTAAACCTTTAACCTCTCCCTCCAACCTTTCCTGGGATGATCCCTATCCCTCCTTCCTTCTGCCCTCTTTGTCAGCCTATTTTGTGCCATTCTCTTTAAATGTTCAATCCTCCTCAATCCTTCACTACAATGAATTATTCTTTTTGTAACCTCACACTGACTTCCTATTTCCATACTCTGAATTATCTGCATAAAATTTGATTCACACAGTTTCAAATGTGATATCTCCAATGCCTTAAGCTGTGCATCCCTGACTGCCAGTTCATCAGCTCCTCACTACCTCATGGGTGGTTGCCTGACACTGTCAGTCACCTTTTATCAGTCCCTATGCTATCATTCTCTTAGTTACATCAAAATCAAATCCTATAACTTGAAACAAGAAGCACATCTTGAACTTAGTAGGAAAGTGGAATAAACTAGATAACAATTAGAAGCAAACTATACAGAGGTCTAAACAAAGGCTAGAGCACTACACTAGAAATAATTACACACATCAGTCATTGGCAGTTATGACTTCCTACAACCTCCAATATACAGTGGACCCCCGGTTAACGATATTTTTTCACTCCAGAAGCATGTTCAGGTGCCAGTACTGACCGAATTTGTTCCCATAAGAAATATTGTGAAGTAGATTAGTCCATTTCAGACCCCCAAACATACACGTACAAACGCACTTACATAAATACACTTACATAATTGGTCGCATTCGGAGGTAATCGTTATGCGGGGGTCCACTGTATATGTAATTTGTACATCTTATTTTCTCCAATTTCATTACATTAATTATTACACAATGAGCTTTAACATGTAGGTAATGCATCATTAATACAAGTAATTCAAAATAAGATTAGTAGAATTTTAATGAGACTTACTTTGAAGCATATGGATTTGGGTGGTGGACAACAGCTGTTTTCTTTGACTTGATAAGTGTCAATCTTGAATGAGCAACCCTCAGCCCTACACTTTTCTTTAATGTCATACGTTTGTAGACAGCTTTTTTATCATTTGAATGACTAACAGAAGATGTAGTTAAAGCAGAGTAAGGACTTGCAGTAGAGGATGACTCTGAGGGGCAGGAGGCAAGCTCTGTGGTCATCCGAGAGTTACTACTGTCTGAACTAGATTGGAGATCAGTGGTTGAAGTAAGGAGATCTCTAGATTCAGCCACTGAGCTGATGTTAGAGTTTGAGGATGCTCTCTCCAAGTTTCCAATCGATGCACATTTTTGTAGACCTAAGTAGTAGCAAAATCATAAAAATTAGACATTCAAGGGCAATACAATAAAAAGTGTACTACATACTTTGTAAAAAATAGAATAAGCTTCATGCAAATCTTTTCATATTTATGCAGTAATACAGAGTGATGGTAGCATGAAGCAGTTGGAGGGTAGTTTGCAATAGCTGGGAAGCAAGGGTAGGTGTAGATTAATGTGCAGCAGCTGGTGCAGGGTAGCAAGCAGCAGCTGCAGAAGGGAGCAGGTGGGTGGCATAAAGCACCTGAGAGAAGATGAGGGTAACAGGAAGTGGGTAGCAAGCAGCACCTGGGAAGCCAGACAGACAGTAGTATATAGTGGTTGTAAGGCAGCAACAAGCAGCTGAGTACAGGGCATTGCAGTAGCTGAGGCCTGAGATAGAGGGGGTTACAACCAACTAACTGAAGCACATTCAGATACACACAATATTTTGGTACGGTTTAATTGGATTTCCATTATTGCTTATGGGGAAAATTAATTCGGCTAACGATAATTTCGTCTAACGATGAGCTCTCAGGAACGGATTAATATCGTTAGCCGAGGGTCCACTGTACTGCATTTTTAAAACTATTCCAACACTCTTCAACCCCCCCCCCCTCACTACTCATACTTGCACTAGCCCACCTTTCTGCCAACAGTTTTTTTATATCTCACCCTAACTTCCTCCTCCCTTAGTTTATACACTCTCACATCTCTCTTACTCGTTGTTGCCATTTTCCTTTCGTCCCATCTACCTCTTACTCTAACTGTAGCTACAACTAAATAATGATCCGATGTATCAGTTGCCCCTCTATAAACATGTACATCCTGGAGCCTACCCATCAACCTCTTATCCACCAATACATAATCTAACGAACTTTCATTGCATGCTATATCATAACTTGGATACTTATTTATCCTCTTTTTCATAAAATATGTATTATTTATCACAAAACCTCTTTCTACACATAGCTCAATTAAAGACTCCCCATTTTCATCTACCCTTGGCACCCCAAATTTACCTACTACTCCCTCCACAACATTTTTACCTACTTTAGCATTGAAATCCCCAACCACCATTACTCTCACACTTGGTTCAAAACTCCCACGCATTCACTCAACATTTCCCAAAATCTCTCTCTCTCTCTCCTCTACACTTCTCTCCTCCAGGTGCATATACGCTTACTATAACCCACTTTTCACATCCAACCTTTATTTTACTCCACATAATCCTTGAATACATTTATAGTCCCTCTTTTCCTGCCATAACTTATCCTTCAACATTACTGCTACTCCTCCTTTAGCTCTAACTCTATTTGAAACCCCTGACCTAATCCCATTTATTCCTCTCCACTGAAACTCTCCCACCTCCTTCAGCTTTGTTTCACTTAACCCTTAAACGGTCCAAACGTATATATACGTTTATGCGCGTAGCGCCCCAAACGTATATATACGTTTTATTTTTCATTTGTTCAAAATTAGCGCGATAGGCCTGAGTCGCCTAGACATGAGAGAATGGGTATGCGCACTCAGTGTGCGCAGTATACAAAAAATCTGGGACGCCTGAGTACCACATGGTAGGACCAGTTACATTCAGCTCCATCCTGGGTCAACATCATGGCACATCCTCATGATTCACTCACGCCTCGTCGTATTAACACTCTACTATTTGAGGAAAGTGATAGAGATCATGAGTTTAGTGGATTTGACACCAATGGGGCCAGTAATATTCAAGGAATTAGTGAAAATATCGACAATAACCCAGATGACCCCCAGCCCATCACCTCTGGGGGAGCGACACCTGTCCTAGGGCAAGCACCCCTGGGGTAGCCAGTGTGGCCACATCAGACCCTAGGTCAAGCACTTCTGGGGGGGCCAGTGTGGCCACAGAAGACCCTGGGGCCAAGCACTCTGGAGTGGGGAAGTGTTACCCATAGGCAACTTCGCAAGAGGAAACTATCATTTTCCCGGTGTTTTTTTGTAGTGATAGTGAAAGTGATGTAAGTGATGATGAGATTGATTTTATGCCAATTGAGGATTCGTCTAGTGATAGTGACGTTCATTATTCACCAGTGAAACGTACTTTTAGGCGTTGTTATCTACGTTCAGGCAGTGTGCCATATGCAATCCCCAAGGGTCATGGCAGGTCACGATCCAAAACCCCGGCCACTGATTTGTGAAAGTGAAACACGAAGGGAGTATGCGGCAATGGGAAGTAGTGGTGGGTGGCATGGTGCCTGGACCACATGGCGCAGTGGGTGGCAGACAAAGGAAATGCCCGGCACCTCCTCAACCATGTGCTTGCCTCCACTCCTCTCCCTCCTCCTCCTGCCCCCCCTCGCCCCATGCCATAGGTCCACCCTGCACCATGTGATCATGAGTGGAACTGGACACAAAGTATATTCGTGCCACAGCCTTGTGATTTTGATGCTAGTGGAAGT